AGCAGCAGTTTACGACATTCTCAAACCAACCACCTGCTGTCCAAGCTAAGTCCATTGCTACATATGCGGCAAACCTCCAACAGCATCAGGCTAGCCAGATGCCTAACAAAACCATGCCTAACGCGCCCGGCCCCCAGGGCCAGGGCTCACCCATGATGGCTCAAGGCCAAGAAGGTGCCGGGCTAACTGCGTACTACAACGCTGGAGAAATGGGTCCAGGAGGAATTCGGCCTGGCCCTGGCGGTGCCCAAGCCGGTGGTGGAAGTAACCACGCTCTGCAGGACTATCAAATGCAGCTAATGCTTCTGGAGCAGCAGAATAAGAAAAGGCTCATGATGGCCCGCCAGGAACAAGATAACATGGGCGGAGGTGCCATGCCCAGAGACGGTCCCGCCGGGCCTGGCGGCCCTGGCGCACCTCCTGGTCCCAATGGCCAGCCTTTCCCGGAGACATCTCCCCAAGGCGCCAGAACCGGAGCTTCACCAAACCCAACGGAGCAGATGAAGAGAGGCACCCCGCAGATGAACAACGCTGGCATTCCTTCGCCGCTGCCCGAGGGTGCTCAATCTCGTGGCTCTCCCAACCCTATGAACTTCATGGGCAACCAAATGGACCCGAACATGGCGCCACACTTCTTCAAGGGCATGGGCAATCAAATGGATGGGAACATGGCCGGCAATCCTCAGATGAATGGCGGCATGCGCCCACCCAGCTCGCACCCTGGTCAGCAGTTCAACGGTCAGATGAACCCGCAGCAGATGATGGTCGCCCGGCAACAGCAGCAACAGGCGCAACAGGCGCAGCAAGCCCAGCAGCAACAGCAGCAGCAGCAGCAGCCACCTCAGCAGCAGGGACAGCCTCAGCAGGCTGGCCAAGGTGGTCAGCCAGTGCAATGGCAGCAAGGCGGGCCGAATGGTCAGATGGTGCCTCAGGGTCCTCAGGGATCTGTTCAGGGTACACCGCAGCAACGGTCGATGCCCCCGCCATCTGCACCAGCTGGCGCCAACTCCAACCGGACGAGCACTTCCTCGCCTCAACAGGCCGCAGCGGCTCCCCCGACTCCGTCACAATCAAACAAGGCGGCGCCAAAGAAGAAGGATACCAAGAACACAAAGGCAAAGGTAAGCACATGGCAAGACACGTATTGCCCAAACAAAACTAACACATGCGCAGGCTGCGGCGGGAAAGAAGTCAGGCAACAACAACCTGAACAGTGGCACTACGCCAGCCGCCGACGGTGCAGATGCGGAGGCTGCAACACCTGCAACTCCCATCACTCCTGTCACCACTGCCAACTTCACCAAGAACGGACAAAATGCTGCCGTGCCAGCCGTGCCCAACGGCCAGGCTGCTGCTCCAGCACCTGCCCCTCAGCCTCAGGTAGCCCCCCAGGCACAACACGATGCCAACCAGAACGGAGGGTTTATGGACAACACGAACCCAATGGTGGACTTCGGTGCTATGGCATTCGCCGACCCGTTGGTCTCGGACAATGTTCTTAACGACTTCGACTTTGACTCATTTCTACACGAAGACGGCGACAATCAGGCCTTTGATTTCAACACGGGTTCATTTGGCATGGAAGGCGCCAACGAAATTGGCGCAGACTAGACGGTTCCCAAGCCTGACTTTTAGGTGTACGATTCCCTCTCGTCTGTGTCATGCCTCAGTTGTGCGTTAGGCGTTGTGTCGATTCCCCAGCCTGATTTCTCCATGCCTCGCCGTTGTACGGTCGAGCGGCATGGTATTTGCGAAGCATGGCTATCTCCATTTGATTTATGGATGCGCTCAGAATACCAAAAAAAAGTGGTTTTTACAGTCTAGAATACATCAAATCGGACTGAGCCCACATCGATTTGTTGGCATGTTGCCAACTGTAACTTTCAGGAGGATTTGCTCGACAATTGCAGTCAAGATAAAGCAGTCGGGCTTAACTCTCGCCGCCTCATCGAGCCTGTCACTTTCCTATTTCATATGCTTTGATTTACCAATCGCCTTTGGACGACGTTTATGTGTGGCAAACACTTGACGGATTGCCCCATTGGCGGCATATTCCAATGAGTCGTTTCGCTGTTCAGCACAGCCTCGTTCTCGACGGCGATTTAATTCCCTTGCGTGCATGTGCCTGGGGTAACACGCATACAAACTTCACGTTACTTTTCTCCTTGTCGGTCGTTGGTGGACGGACCGCTTGCGAGAATTCTTGATCATTGGTTCTGGAGTTCTACTGGCAGGGTTCGCAAAGTTTCGTCGGGTGCCTTTCCTATCGAACCAGTGGGCGTAATCATTGATTGTACGTGGCATACGATGTGCGAATGCAGAGCCCGGTTTCGTTTGGTGGACCCATCAGTGTTGATTTGCAAAAGAGGTGACAAGAGAGATCAAAAGGGGGCAGTTGTACCGGTTGTGGATTGAGTTGAGAGCATTGTATTTACTAGAAGGGCGGGGACACGTTCGATCACCAGCGTCGTCCTGCTATCGTCGTTTACCCTGGGTCCTGTCAGATTATACTGTGGCGCGGTGCGATATTGGTTTGCGAGGATCAATCCATCTTTTTTCATATCCTGGATGCCATCAAATATTAAAGTTCCCTCTGGCATCCCTGTCAATTATTCGTAAAAACATCACCAGCACTACTGCATTGATCATGGCGATCACGATCATGTCTTCTTCTCAGAATGTTTCCGAAGCATGATCGAAGGAGGGAAGGCAAGCCTCAATGTGCAGAAACCCTTCCATCTTTGGGGGCGTTTGATACCGCCCACAATAATCGGAGCCTTCTGACTGTGAACGCCAACGTATCTGTGCTCGTGGGGCTTTCACATGTGGTCGCACGGCTCAGAGAGGCCTGTCCAACATCTTCTGGTCTACCCTGAGCTCTAAGTTCCTTACTGGGCAAGGGAGATCCCCGCACCGCACCGGGCCCGGGTCGAGCACCGAGGCCGCAGGCGTGGCCGTGATCTACATACAAGTCGGACATTTTGCCAATGGTAATCTCGGGGAATTAGACGCGGGGCGGGGGCCTTTTTGTTTTTCATTAATAATCATAGTAGTAATACGTGCCGGTGGCCGGATGCGGCGGCGGACGCAACGGTTGTCGATCTGCAATCTGGGGTCGGCCATGCGACGGGTCATCAGCGGGGACATCCAGAGGCTAGCACCGAGCTTCTTGTTCCTCTTGAACTCTGATCGAGGGTCTAAGATCTAAGATCTAGAATCCAAGATCCAAGATCCAAGATCCAAGGGTGTGTTCTCGGCAGTATGGATGCGCAGCAGCCTTGTGGAAGAGGTGGATTGCTGGCTGTGCCATCGTATATTTGCTGCTTTGATGAGATGGTGTATAATATTCTCGATCTTAAGAAGACGTTGATTAGTATCTGCGTTGGCTACGTATATCTATAATCTACACAACAAACCGGCTGTGTAGGAAATGTTGCAGAATTCGAGTCTACCTAGGCACGTCACAGTGAGTTATACGAGCAAATGGTCTGCATCCGCTCTCATAATTGTCATCAAATGTAGCGATAATTGTGTTCTGGAGGTTTAGATAACGGGGAAGGATTCCCGTGTTGGATTTCAACATTGACTACTATATAGGCGGTAAAACCTAAGAAGTCGCTCCTCCTCTACGCCTGTTCAGGTCCGCAGGCTTGAAAAACAGACGCAGATGGGGGAGCAGAACGTATGAGTGTAAAGGCAGCCGCTATATATCGCTTTCCAAAAAGGGGTATATACCAAAGGGGCAAGAATTATCCTGTCTTGAGAAAAGGAGGAGTGTGCCAAAGGAGCCATGTGCGACTCGAATGTACGAGATCGGACGTTGGGGCACTATGTGATGGCCGGAGTTCATGATATGACGGAGATATGTGAGGGCGGTGTCTGCGAGGCCAAGCTCATTACGAATACAGCCATTAGAGGCAGCTGCACTCAAGGCGACTGGTATACCGTGAGGTATCCGATCTCCATCATGCTTCCATAGCCATCCTGAGTAGCGTCGGTAGGAGAACCCGGCAACGTGCCGCCTGAAACTGGTTAGCATTCTCATGTACGGCAAACGGTCAACCGAGGCGAAAGGAGCGAGAAACATACCAACTGCTACATTCATAAGCACATAGTAAGGCATGTGACAAAGGGTCGCCCAGATGCCTTCGTCACCAATATCGCTGCCCTTGAGCTGGTTGAAGACAACACCGTCACGGTACCATGTGATGGTCTCGGTGACCCAGTTGTTCGACGTGCGGTCCCACTCCAGTGCCCAAGTGTGCCAACCGTTGTCGGGCATCGAAGTAGCCACGCCACGGCCGCTGGGCTCGTTGCAGATGCCGCCGGATTCTTGTTGGCAGTGAACGGTACCCGTGGCGGTGGCCTGGCCGTTGATCTGTTCAAAGATGTCGAGCTCGCCGCAGAGGGGCCACTGAACCCCGTTGCGAACGGCATCGCCCAGCATCCAAAAGGCAGGCCACATGCCCTGCTTATTTGCGTTGTCGCCCATCCTGAACATTGACTGAACCCGCATCTTCCCTCCCGGCTGAGGTGTCCACGCTGCCTTTGTCTCGATACGCGCAGATGTCCATACGCCGCTTGCTGACTTTCGGGGAATGAGCTGGATGGTTTCACCACCCGATATTTGGACGTTCCAGGACGATTCGGTGTAAGTCTGGACCTCGTTGTTCGTGTCGATGGCCAAGGCGACGTTCCATGTGTCACTTCGAGGGGGTGCGCCGGCGTTTCCTTGGAAGGTCTCGGACCAGATGATTCTCATGCCATCTTGTGCTGGGGGCACAAGAGCACCGACGAACGGCGTGAGGGAAAAGAGAAGTTGGGCGTATGTGGAAAGCATTTTTGTCTCGTGTATTTGCTGTTACTGACTGACTCCTTTCTCTGTTCGTATAGTATACTGAATGAATGGATTGGTATTGAAGTCCGTGGGTTCAATCTCGTCTATTTGCGAGCGTTCAGGGGATGAAAGTGAATGGACGATGAGATTCAAATGAATGTGATCACCAAGAAAAGAATGTAACGGCACTGGGCCTAGTAAGTGAAAGTGGGTGCGGTAGAGAACGAGAGAGGCGGCAAAAGCACATAGTTGCCAACGGGCAGCGAGGCTGGGTCGCCTCTATATATATACGGCCAGGAGAAGTTCCTACATGGGAATGGTCCAGACAACGCACATTGGGAGGAACAACCTTGTATTGGGACAACTTGACTAGGGAGCAGGACGACAAGGATGCTATGCCGGGAGCAGGCGATGAGTGACAACGGGTAAGGAGGAGCTTGTGCCATGCCCTTGCTATAGCAAATGGTTGGATTAGGGTAGTTGTCCAGAGGCGGCAAGGCAGAGAAAGAGATTGACGTGGGGAGTCAGGATGAAACGCCCAGAAGCGGCCAGGAATACCCAGTGTGGCGGTGACGATGGCCTGCCTACTTCGCAACTCGGCGCAGTCTTCTTGGTCGACTCTGGCTCAGCCGCTCGGGTTACAGTACGCAGTATCCGCACAGCAGGAGAGCCAAAAATGGGCGAGCAAGGGCATAAACTGCGGTTTGCCAGATAGATCGCGGACGGTAGTGATTGGTACATTAGGGCACTGAGGTGAATATGGATACATGGCAGGGAAAGCAGGGGTTATTTCCAGCATACAAAGTGAAGGTAACTGCAGAGAGGAGTTCCTCACGGGTAGTGGGCGTGGCCAGCAGGCAAGGCCAGGGAGTCCTGATCTGCGTCGGACAAGACGACAGAGAGATAGGGGCCGGCCCAAGATCGAGACCAAGATGTGGACAAAGAAGTTGACGGTGGCCATGGATAAGCCAGCAGGTACTCCGTACTTGGTTTGTGTAGTGAACCGTGAGAGCGAGCCGGAGCAGGAAGAGCTAACTAGGGAATGGAGCAGGAGGGTTGGCTCTTAGAGAATTGACTCGTCAACGATCTCCATCGGTCCATCCATATCCGTACATACACATGGAATGCTGTGGAGACAAGAAAAGAGGCTGAGGTGCGATCACGGACTCATATGCAGACGTGATATTGGTACTCCGTAGGCATGGTGGTATGGGAGAGAACGGGGCTTTGAGAGCAGTCAAAAAAAAAAAAAAAAAAAGGGACGGGGCCCGTTGGCGGCGCATCCGAGCCAAGGATCGACGACGGATACCGCCTGCACTGGCCAACGGGTGTCATTGGCGGTTCATCTGTACTCGGTACTGCGAGCGTCAATTGCATAACCTTCAATTTGGGCACCGCGGCACTACTTGGTAGATCCACACTGCGGCCAGAAAGAAGAAAAAAACGCAGTCAATTGTCCAGTCGGGAAGGACCAAAACTTTGAAAAGGAGGTGGACTCGGGGCATTTGTCTAGAGCCTAGAGGTGTCAGGGTCAATCAGAAAAGAGCCTCGAAAGGGGAGGACAGTACGAAGTACTCCGTACACTAGGACTACTACGTACCTAGGGGTTTCGGACGTGGGGGTAACAAGAGCCGTGATTTCCGTCCATTGGATGGGCTCAACTCTCACCTTACAGTAGACTTAGTCTTAGACTTAGTCTTGGTATTTTGCTGTGCACACTCAATGTGTACAGAGCATCCGTCGATATCTGGTGTGAGGAAGGCGATATGTATTCGTACGAATCTGAACAAGAAGGCTGCTGGCAAAAAGCTTTGCTTCCTGCAATTCTTCAAGCTATCACCAATGGCCATGGCTGCCCCCCTTCCTTCTTTTCAATTTCCTATCAAGTTGTGCAACTGCGTGTGGCTGCACTCAATGGTGTGGCAAGCGGGCCATTCTCGCCAAGATGGGATCGTCAAGTGCCCCTGAATATTCAAAAGCTGTACATACATGAAGAGTGCAGGCACCAGGATGGCACAGGCAGCGCTACCCAGGTGCTGAACCGGCAATGCATGCCCTGAGACAACAAATGGCAGGGTATCTTAACAGGGAGACGTCGGCCCAAATCCACAAATGGGTCCAGCGCCGCTTGGAAGTTGGACCACGTCCACCTGGGACAACGGAGATTTCTCCCCCCTCAGGAGTCCCGGCTCGATTGAGTTGGCACTTCAACAGAACTCTACGCAGTACGGGGTATTCTGTAGGAGGCCTCGAGATGGGCCCTTGACTACCTTGGCCGCTCACAGACGAATACTGTGTACCTAGGTATGCGTATCCGTACTCATGGATAAGAGATGCAGCTCTAGTGTACGATAAGCGAATGCCTTCCATCGCACGCTCGCCTCGTCGCCCAAAAAGAATTCCACAATGCTTCAGCGCCGTTGAGTGCCACCTCCGCCACTGCAACTTTTGTGCCCCCATTCATGAAACTGAAGACTCCCGCAATGGAAACGAACTGCGTTATCGTTCTCGGATGAACCACTACAGCTGTCACGTGTTTCAAGCACGGGGGTTGATTGTGGCTGTCATTGTCCAGTCATCGCATCACCCCATTACGCATAGGCATGCCTTATGTCAGAATGCGTGACTGTATCATTCATGTGCTACCTTCTTCCATGAAACTGTTGTCGACCTCTCTCCCGAAGTAAAAATGAGACGTTTTGTTACGGTGCAGCGAACCCACGCCGTGTAAACCAACAGAGCATCAATCGCAGTACTATTTATCCTGCAATGCTGTCATGTGCTTGAAAAACTGGCAAACCATGGTTGCTGGTACTTCAACGCGATAATTTCATCTGCTTGTGAGTCGCATTGCCGGGTCCTGGCAGGACCAGCTCCATGAACTGTTCCGTGGAGTAGTGGGCTAGATTCCTCGCTGACCAAAATCAGGCAGCCCGCAATATGCAGTTTCTGGGTAGAAGGTATCTATGTTCTTACTGCGGCCTGCTCGCCGTAGTTGGATAGATTTGTAAGTCGAGGCCCGCGTAAGGACTTGCTGGGCCGTGTAGGCCGTATTCAACCTGCAGAGCAGATGGTATTACCGCTCGCGCCCGGAACCGCGGGTCCAAATACATCTCCCAGCTTCTCACCTAGCCGCACGATGGTGTGCTCATAGACTCGCGCTGCGTCCATGTAGAGACTGTCCTCGTCTTCGCTCCACGTCGTGTCCGTCGCATCTTCCAGTTCAGTGTCGCTATTCATGGAATTTGCGTCTGTCTCGTCACCTTTTGTGCCGTCGCCTCCGTCGGACTCCTTGCTAAGGACCTCCACAATGACCAGTCGTGTCTGCTCCACCGAGCTACGGCATCGCACCATATCTGTCGTAGACATGCCAGCTCTCATGCCGTTCTCAAAGCCAGGCAAGGTGTCTTTGGTCTCGATATCGCGGCCGATTAAGAGGCTTGCGAAGCAATGGTCCAGCTTTTTCAAGACGGAGAGGGTAGCTCTCGGGGAAGGAGTAAAGGCGTCAATCCATTGCGTGAAGTCGCTGGCAATGTTCAAGAGGAAGGGAATCTGTATGCTCGCTACAAGACAGAGTCAGCAATAGTACCGGCGTTTAACTCAAAGCAACGCCGATTTTCGAGGGAGACGGGCTAGTTCCTCACGTGTTCCGGACAGCCATAGGACGTCGATGACGTTATGTAGGTCCTTGCAAAGCTCCGTAAAGCTCTTGTAGCCTATGACATCGTCGCCGGGCTCGGCACTGCCATGCTTCTTGACATAACGACGATTGACAATGGCGAGACGTTCCTCAATGTACCGGCGTACCGTCTCTTCCTTGTTGGAACCTGGTCGGAGCGATCTGGCGCGGGGATGCGGCAAAGCCGCACTTGAGCGCGCGGAGGCACTGCTAGGAGCAGGTGAAGGGAGAGATTGCAATGGAAAGAAGCCGCCAGGACCCGCAGGCTGCGGAGTGTCAGTCATTATGTCTAAGTACTGTCGCCGGTTACTCCAGAGTCGATGCTGCTTTGCGCATTGCCCACGCAGAAATGCCCTGAGTCTTAAACAGAGTCCGGCCCCTTCAAGGTTCTCGCGACGTGGGGTAGTGATGTATAAGTTGTTGCGCAGACTGGCAAGGCGATTGGGACGTCTGTACGTAGTACGGATACGTAGAAATATTACCTAAGCCGAGTGAAAGGGGAGTGGAGATCAAGGTAGGTAGAGGTACCTAGGTACCTTACTCTACCTAGGTATCAAGCGCTTTATCTGATGTCCGATAAGAGCTATCATGCCCACCTCAGCCACAACAAGGCCTTGCCATATGTGGCTTGCGCGTGGTTGACGACGCCCAGTCAAAAAATTTCGGCCCTGTACGCTTTCCGCGTGAAGTCGAGCCGACCGATCGCGTTTACGACCTCACATCCCGCCCCTTGCTACAATCACATCACCGTACACCACATCTCCAAGCTCAACTCGTAAATCGTTCTTCCTTTGCGTCTTCAAATCCAATTATTCGTCATGCCTGCCAAGAGAATCGTCGTCCAGAGAGACAACCAGCGCTCTCGTCAGCCCAAGGGTTACTTCAGATCAACATACGATGCGTTGACTTCCTCTGAGAATGCACCCATCGTGCGCAGCGTCGCCATCTTCGGCGTAAGTCACCATGCGCTTCCAGATCCCTGATCTGTGAGCCCTGCTAACGTCCAGTTCAGGCAGCTGTGACTTTCCTCTCCAGCTCCTGGGGCGAGTTCCTTCTTCCTCCGTAAGTTGCTCATCACCTTGAGCCCCAATTCAAGGTCGCTGACGCTTCGATTTCGCAGTCAATAAAGATCTTTCTACAATCGAATGACGGCTCATGTATAATTACGTCCTTTTTGCCGCAATAGAAGCTGGCTGTACAATACTCGAAGAAAGGTAGCCTCGAGGCTACGGGGAATGGCATCTGAGGTCTGGTGTTGACCTCAACGCCACGGCCCGCACCGGCTGGCTTTAATGAATCTCTCTCTGACGCAATAATCGTTCATTTGGATGCACTTGTGCCGTGAATATGTTCTACCAACAGGGAGTATGTACGGCGGTTGCTCCAACAGTGTCGCAAGTCTACCTCGTGTGCCTAGCTCGCCCTCTATCGATTAGGACACCAGCAGTTTAAGCAAGCAGTGCGATGATGGCAATCAATTAGGCGGTACGCAACCGTGTGAACTAAATCTGTTGTACGCGATAAAACTTCCTCGGCTCTACCGATTATCTTTGATCACATCAACTCCGCGTTCGTGCAAGTCCCGTTGCACTTCTGATAGAGAGACATCGCAGCCCAGCCGCCGCACATCTCCGTCTTGCTACCCCCACAGGGCATATCGCAAGCTCCCCAGAGCCCCTTTTTGGGCTTCCGATCATCAGCTACCGAGTTCCCGCACCAGCATTCTTTCGCATATTCAAGGCCGGCATACTGAAAGCCCTTTCCGTCACAGTACTTGATACATGTATCAACCGTCATGCTATCACCGGACGTCTTGGCGCCCTGGAGCGTCCTAGTCTGTCCAGCCGGATCACGGCCACAGCCCAGATATTTGTACTTGAGAGTACTTGTCACGTCCTTGTAACCCCACTTGGGTGCCGAGATCTGGGTCGCTG